AACTAGAACTGAACTAGAACTGAAAGAACTGAACTAGAACTGAACTAGAACTGAACTAGAACTGAACTAGAACTGAACTAGAACTGAACTAGAACTGAACTAGAACTGAACTAGAACTGAACTAGAACTGAACTAGAACTGAACTAGAACTGAACTAGAACTGAACTAGAACTGAACTAGAACTGAACTAGAACTGAACTAGAACTGAACTAGAACTGAACTAGAACTGAACTAGAACTGAACTAGAACTGAACTAGAACTGAACTAGAACTGAACTAGAACTGAACTAGAACTGAACTAGAACTGAACTAGAACTGAACTAGAACTGAACTAGAACTGAACTTGAACTGAACTAGAACTGAACTAGAACTGAACTAGAACTGAACTAGAACTGAACTAGAACTGAACTAGAACTGAACCTGAACTAGAACTGAACTAGAACTGAACTAGAACTGAACTAGAACTGAACTAGAACTGAACTAGAACTGAACTAGAACTGAACTGACTAAACTGAACTAGAACTGAACTAGAACTGAACTAGAAATGAACAGAACTGAACTAAACTAGAACTGAACTAGAACTGAACTAGAACTGAACTAGAACTGAACTAGAACTGAACTAGAACTGAACTAGAACTGAACTAGAACTGAACTAGAACTGAACTAAAACCTGAACTAGAACTGAACTAGAACTGAACTAGAAATGAACTAGAACTGAACTAGAACTGAACTAGAACTTTACTAGAACTGAACTAGAACTGAACTAGAACTGAACTTGAACTGAACTAGAACTGAACTAGAACTGAACTAGAACCGAACTAGATCTGAACTAGAACGGAACTAGAACTGAACTAGAACCGAACTAGAACTGAACTAGAACTGAACGAGAACTGAATTAGAAACTGAACTAAAACTGGAACTAGAACTGAACTAAAACGAACTAGAACTGAATTAGAACTGAACTAGAACTGAACTAGAACTGAACTAGAACTAAACTAGAACTAAACTAGAACTGAACTAAAACTGAACTTGAACTGAACTAAAAGCTTAATAAATAGACCAAGTAGTCAACAGACTAGTCCATTGACTGGTCCCTAGACTGGTCAACAAAGTAGTCAACATACTAATCGACTAATCAAGAGACTAGTCAACAGACTAGTGAATAGATTGATAATAGACTAGTATATTGTCAAGAGGCAGATCCCTAGTCTGACTAGTTATGATGTTTAAATTATAATTAATAAACTTTTTAATAATATCTTCAATCTTAATTAAAATTCTACGCTAAAACACCATTATTTTCAACATTTTCTCAAATTGCTCTCTGAAGACATCTTATTTATATTTTTATACAAATTTTATTCACTTCTCTTTAAATACTCTTCTTCTTTCTTTGTTTGTTTATTTATACAAAAAATATTATTAATTGGCATTGTATACATAAAGTACCTACATACATATGTATGTACATATATGTATACCCCTGATCAATTGACGACATCAGCAATTTCAAATCGATTTAAAGCAAATGAAAAATTTTATAAAAAAATCACTAGTTAAATGTATTGTAAATAAACATTAAAACAAATATAGACAAAACTTATACTTCATATGAATTTGTTTATAAAAAAATAAGAATTTGTTTGAATATTAAATGAAATGTCGTGGAGACAGCACACCAACCATAAAAGTGTTAATCAAAGTGAAGGGGGGAACATGAATGAAAAAGAAAAGAAAAAAAAGACAACAAAAATAAACATCCAAACTTTAATTTGTAAAACGGTGGGGTAGCAAAATTTTGAAATTTATTTAATTTTATGTTTATTTAATGTAAATTAAGTTCTTTTTTATGTAGTAGTACATAAATAATTAAAGAGCAAATAATTTCTCTGCAAAATTAGTTCAATTGCGACAAACGAATTTTAAAGATTTTTTTTAATGTGACAGACATTTTGAATAAGTTGTCATCCCAGTTTTATTGTTTTAATTGTTATAAATCTTTTAACACAGAACTCAAAATACTAGATTTAAAAAAAATGATCTTAACTTTACTCTTATTATATGCATTCGATTTCTCCCTGTTTTCTTGATGAGTATACTCAATATTAAATGAGTGTATTCCTCATACGTCATGGCAGGAATGTGAAGAAGTTTGAGCTTAAAATTTTCATAAATAGCTCTGAGAGCAACAATAAAAAATTAATTTCAAAAGTTTCCCTTGAAATTCACTGCAAACGTTATTTTAAAAATATTTTTAAATTTTATTAAAAATATGATATTTTTTAAAAATTGTCAAAATTTTAAATTTCGTAACAAATTCAAAAAAAAAAAAAAATATATATATATATAAAAATTTAATATATTTCTAAAAATATATTTTCAAAAACATTTTTTGTATTGGAAATTTTTATAAAATTCAGTTCTAGCTCAGTTCGAGCTCAGTTCTAGTTCAGTTCTAGGTCAGTTCTAGTTCAGTTCTAGTTCAGTTCTAGTTCAGTTCTAGTTCAGTTCTAGTTCAGTTCTAGTTCAGTTCTAGTTCAGTTCTAGTTCAGTTCTAGTTCAGTTCTAGTTCAGTTCTAGTTCAGTTCTAGTTCAGTTCTAGTTCAGTTCTAGTTGAGTTCTAGTTCAGTTCTAGTTCAGTTCTAGTTCAGTTCTAGTTCAGTTCTAGTTCAGTTCTAGTTCAGTTCTAGTTCAGTTCTAGTTCAGTTCTAGTTCAGTTCTAGTTCAGTTCTAGTTCAGTTCTAGTTCAGTTCTAGTTCAGTTCTAGTTCAGTTCTAGTTCAGTTCTAGTTCAGTTCTAGTTCAGTTCTAGTTCAGTTCTAGTTGAGTTCTAGTTCAGTTCTAGTTCAGTTCTAGTTCAGTTCTAGTTCAGTTCTAGTTCAGTTCTAGTTCAGTTCTAGTTCTAGTTCAGTTCTGGTTCAGCTCTAGTTCAGTTCTAGTTCAGTTCTAGTTCAGTTCTAGTTCAGTTCTAGTTCTAGTTCAGTTCTAGTTCAGTTCTAGTTCAGTTCTAGTTCAGTTCTAGTTCAGTTCTAGTTCAGTTCTAGTTCAGTTCTAGTTCAGTTCTAGTTCAGTTCTAGTCAGTTCTAGTTCAGTTCTAGTTCAGTTCTAGTTCAGTTCTAGTTCAGTTCTAGTTCAGTTCTAGTTCAGTTCTAGTTCTAGTTCAGTTCTAGTTCAGTTCTAGTTCAGTTCTAGTTCAGTTAGTTCAGTTCTAGTTCAGTTCTAGTTCAGTTCTAGTTCAGTTCTAGTTCAGTTCTAGTTCAGTTCTAGTTCAGTTCAGTCTAGTTCAGTTCTAGTTCAGTTCTAGTTCAGTTCTAGTTCAGTTCTAGTTCAGTTCTAGTTCAGTTCTAGTTCAGTTCTAGTTCAGTTCTAGTTCAGTTCTAGTTCAGTTCTAGTTCAGTTCTAGTTCAGTTCTAGTTCAGTTCTAGTTCAGTTCTAGTTCAGTTCTAGTTCAGTTCTAGTTCAGTTCTAGTTCAGTTCTAGTTCAGTTCTAGTTCAGTTCTAGTTCAGTTCAGTTCTAGTTCAGTTCTAGTTCAGTTCTAGTTCAGTTCTAGTTCAGTTCTAGTTCAGTTCTAGTTTCAGTTCTAGTTCAGTTTCTAGTTCAGTCTAGTTCAGTTCTAGTTCAGTTTCTAGTCAGTTCTAGTTCAGTTCTAGTTCAGTTCTAGTTCAGTTCTAGTTCAGTTCTCTAGTTCAGTTCTAGTTCAGTTCTAGTTCAGTTCTAGTTCAGTTCTAGTTCAGTTCTAGGTCAGTTCTAGTTCAGTTCTAGTTCAGTTCTAGTTCAGTTCTAGTTCAGTTCTAGTTCAGTTCTAGTCAGTTCTAGTTCAGTTTATAGTTCAGTTCTAGTTCAGTTCTAGTTAAGTTCTAGTTCAGTTCTAGTTCAGTTCTAGTTCAGTTCTAGTTCGTTCTAGTTCAGTTCTAGTTCAGTTCTAGTTCAGTTCTAGTTCAGTTCTAGTTCAGTTCTAGTTCAGTTCTAGTTCAGTTTCTAGTTCAGTTCTAGTTCAGTTCTAGTTCAGTTCTAGTTCAGTTCTAGTTCAGTTCTAGTTCAGTTCTAGTTCCAGTTCTAGTTTCCAGTATCGTAGTTCAGTTCTAGTTCAGTTTCTAGTTCAGTTCTAGTTCAGTTCTAGTTCTGTTCTAGTTCTGTTCTAGTTCAGTTCTAGTTCAGTTCTAGTTCAGTTCTAGTTCAGTTCTAGTTCAGTTCTAGTTCAGTTCTAGTTCAGTTCTAGTTCAGTTCTAGTTCAGTTCTAGTTCAGTTCTAGTTCAGTTCTAGTTCAGTTCTAGTTCAGTTCTAGTTCAGTTCTAGTTCAGTTCTAGTTCAGTTCTAGTTCAGTTCTAGTTCAGTTCAAGTTCAGTTCTAGTTCAGTTCTAGTTCAGTTCTAGTTCAGTTCTAGTTCAGTTCTAATGTAAAGAGAAATGTAAAGAGAAATTTTAAATGGAAAAGATTTCAAAAAAGTTAAAATTCAATAAAAAATCTGATTTAGAATTAGAAAAATATGTATATAAGTTTTGGATTTTCAAATGGAATTTTCTGAACATAGACTTTTTAGTTAAAAGTTAATGGGAAAGTTTTATTTGTAACTATTTGTCTCATTTACTTATTAATTAATGATTAATAAGTTTTTTTTTTTTTTGTATTTCATGTAATATTTTTTTGACAGATATAAACACGCAAGCACAACTCGCTAGTGTTATGACAACCAAGTATAAAAAGGGTGACCTATAAGTTTCTACATGACTCCAGGGCCACTATTTGAAAAAAACGAAAACTAATAATAATAAAAAATGAAAAAAATGTTAGAGAAATACATAAAGTAATTGTTGTTGTGGCAACAACACTATTTAGAAATAAGTATAAAGACAAAAAATAAATTATGTAAGACAATTACAAAATAATTGTAACAAGGAGAAAAATATATATAGAAAAAATAAATCAATAAATGAGCTTAGATTACAAAATATATAGATATATAGATATGTTTAGAGGGATTTAGAATTTTTATTAACTTACCCCAACTGCCGCCTGTACGACCCAGACATTGACTAGTTTCACTGTTCCACAGAAATGTTTTGAAGCCCTGCCATTTGCCCATTTTTGGAGGTGGCGCATAATATTCATTCTTTTTATCGGCCATTTTGTTTTATTTATATATATATAAACTGTGTTTGTTAAGGATTTTAGTTTGTTTGTTTTTTATTAAATTATTATTTTAAGGATTTTGTGTGTCTAGAGCAGTTTAGTTTGCTTTTTATAAATTATATAGTTTTTTTTTTTCTGGATTTACTTCTTCTCCTACGACTTCAGACTGCTTAAAGACGTTGAGGTGTCGTCTTGTCTTAAGGTGTGTGTGAGTGTGTTGGAAGGTTAATACTTTTTAGTCTATGTTTAACTTTATTATTATTCAGATGCGTATAACAATTTAATTAATAATTATTGGTTGATTTTTATTATTTTATAGATTGTTAGCAGTTTATCGCGTAATCAACTTTGTTGCAAAAACATTTTTACCGATTTTTTGTTGCTGGGGGGTTTTGAGGGGGGATTTTATTTATTGAATATTGTTGTTAGAGAGATTCGTTATAGATATATATATTTGGTATATTCTATGAATTGTTTTACTTTGTTAGAAGATTTTTGGTTTAAACTATTGACTGAATAATTTTACAAAGTTGATGACACCTAGAGAAAATACACAGAAAAAAAAGTAGAAGTTGTAGAAGAAAAAGTAAAAGAAAAATTAGTTTTAAAGAAAAAACATCAAATATAGATTTTATAAGTTTAAACAATTTTTTATTAAAAAATAGTTTTTATAGTTCTTTAAAACAGTTTTGATACACTTTGGTTTTTTAATATAAAAATTTTTTTATTTTTTTTTTTTTTTTTTTTTTTTTTTTCAAAAGTTTTTTATTAATTCTTTTTTTTTCTCCTTAAGGTTTAATAAAGTTTTATTTATTTATTTGAATTTGGTATAAAATTTTTTAAAAATATTTTCTAAATAAAAATTTTCTTTTATTACTTTCATCAACTTTTGGCCTACAGAACACAGTTATGTAACCGAGCACAAACCGTTAAAGAAAAAATTTCTTTCTTTCTTTTAACGTTTTCTTTGCTTTCCGTTTTGTTCTTTTTCCAATTCTATTCTCTACTGTTCTGTGCGCTGCTTTATGTGGAACTAAGAGTTCAATTTCAATTCCTTATTTCAGTTCTAAAAAGTCTCTTTTAGCTGTCATTTCTTAACAAGGAAAGTACTAAAAAGTTGTAAAAATTTTTAGTACTTTTCGTTTAGTACCATAAAGGAAATGTAATAAAATGTAAAATGACAATATAACAAAATATGTTGTAACCGTTAGTATTACAAAAAGAGAGAGAGAGAAAACGAGTGATTTCTTGTGTGTGTGTGTTTGAGAGAAAGCTTACAAATGTAACAGTTGTAAAAGTTTATTACAAGTCTTTAAGGCTGCTTTTTTTTGTCTTGATTCTATTACAGGCCTAATAGGAGCTATGTATGTCTCTAGTATTAACTATTTTCTAGAGTTTTATAATATCAAGTTGTAATAGAATAAACATAGTTAATAGTAAAGCTTTATATTAGAAATTTGGTAAAAAAAGGAAAGAAGAAAAGTTATAGAAAGAAGAGATTGGAAAATATTTAATTTCTTTTTCGTTAACTTAACGGAAAAATGTGATCCGATTTAAGAAATTAACAAATAATGCCTAAATTTTAAATTTTCTTTTGAAATTATGTATGTAGTTTTAACAATTATATAAAACTGACAAAATTGTAAAGAAGTCGAAATCCTAAGACCCTAGTATAAACTACTAAAGGATTAGGCTTAACTTTCGAATCCATATCTAGTTTCACAATTCCTCTGTTTCATCAGGTTTTCAAGTTGTTTGTTTACTAAATTTTGAAAAAACTCCGATTTTAGCCATACAGACGTTATAACAGCTTGAAAACTGCGTTATTTATAAATTTAGAGATATCAGCGGAAAGTCCAATCGATTGACTTTAAAAATAAAAGCTTAAACTCTGATCTAGCTTCTCACTTTTTCGAGATATTGTTACTTAAAGTTAATAACCATAATTTCTGCATTACATCACATTTAGGAGAGTTACTCAGTTTTGGTCATTTTAGAGTCAATATAACAGCTCTAAAACGCCTTTATTTATAGAGTTTGTGATGACATCTAAAACTCCCATTGATTGACTTTAAAATAAAAGCTTAATCTCTGTTCTAGCCTCTCTATTTTTCTATCTATTTTTCGAGATATCTTAATTTAATTTAACATTGGAAACAATTATCAGGCATAAACTTTAACGCATGATATCTCCATAAATACAAGAGATTTTTAAACAACAACAACTTTATATAACAAATTTGTTTGTTCAAAGCAATCTTTGCACTGTTATAACATCTCAAAAAGAACCAAAAATGGTTGGTTTTTCAATCTATAGGACTTGATATCTCGTTAACATAATGTAATGATGAAATTTTTAGGCCAGATTTAGTCCAGCTCAGTACTTTATGTAAGTTTCCTATTGTCTATGGGTTATAAAATTTTCTGGTCTATGTTATTTATTTGATTACTTTGGGACTTATAAGAAAATGTTATCTATGTTAGAGATAAATCTTAGAGTTTTAACGATTTCATCTCCTACGAAATAGAATCGTTATAATTTTATTGAAACTTTATTGCTTTAGAATAGCTAAGACTCTTAGAACTTATTAGAAGTCCCTTCTCATGATCTGCAGTATCTCGAAGAAGGCCAGTGACCCAGATCTAATGGAATGAAATTTGTTAAAAGTTGCAACTATCTTCATTTTAGAAAAAGTTGGTTGAGTTAACGTTTAACTTCTTAATCTCAACATTAGGACCATGCCGGCAATCGGCCTAGTTCGTTTTAATAAGACCAACAAGAAATGCGACGAACTTATCAACAATAAACTTACAAATAGTAACCAACCCACCGGAGTTACAATTCATACTAGAGATTTACTTTCGACAACTTTCGATTGCTGAGTTGACAGTCTTTGGCCGATTATGACTCTGGTGGTTCCGAGGTGAAGCAAACACTGTTGAACTTTTATTGTAGCTGTTTAAATGTGGCCAATAGTTCTCTCCGGAGAGAAAAAAACTTTCAGTTGATTGCTGAGTTACCAATCTATGGCCGATTATGGCTCTGGTGGTTCCGAAGCGAAAATATAATCGTGTGAAGGAAAGTTGAAATTCAAATTTTACTTCAAATATAAAGTAGTTATTTCATACATTACTTGGTAATGAGAGATCGTTATTAAACACATTATTATATTAAGATGAATAATAATTGTAACCAATTATCAAGAACTTTTTTATCAAGAACAGACAAGAGTTTAGTTTTTTAATTCCTAGTTGATATCGGTATAATTTATGTAATAACAATATAGCTTGTCTGCTTACCGGTTAAGTGAAGTTTTTGCTGGGTGTGTAATGTATTTAGCAAATGTCGGGTTTTAAAAACTATAATATATGTTTGTTTTTAGAAAATTAAGGTAAAATATAGAAGATGTCATATTTTGATATCGAGTAAGTGAAACTTCGAAAAGAAAATTTCTTTAAAAATTTTCCAGGTTATGAAATTTTGTAAATATTACGAAAGATTCGATTATTATTAGATTCTTGTTAACGAATTATTTTGAATAGTTTTGTAAACGTAATTAAGTTGTAATTTTGTTGGGAATTTCGAATTTTAAAAGAAATTTTAAATATAAATCCGTTCATATAAATATTTTGGAAAATTTGAAATTTTTATACAATTCAGGAATAATTCCTGAACTCCTTATTTTATAAAACAATTCTTCAGGAAGCTTTCGAAATATTTTTGAAAATTGTGAAATAATTCAATTTTAGAAAAAGTAAAATGAGAGGAATTCTAATATTTTGTCTGCTTTCTAAAGTCTTGAGTAAAATCTACCACAATTTTAGAATATTTGTTTCAAACAGCTAAAGTTGCCTGATGTTAACTAAGCAAATAAGGTTGCCAGATTGTAAATAAAGGAAATTTGTTAAAAGAATACGGAAAAAATAAGAAAAAAGTTTAAAGTTTTTAAAAAAAAGTCTTATTTTTGACTTTTTATTTAATATTTTTTGGAAAATTTTTAGAATATTTGATATATTTCTGAGAAACATATAGAAAAACTTTTAAACTCAAATAAATAGTTCTTAAATATGTCGTTTTAACATGAAAAAAAGCTTAACTTGTCACTTTGACAAATAAGAAAATGTCATAAAATTCTGGAGAGAGTATATTGAGAGCATTCAATGTGACATTAAACGAGTAATTAGCTGTTGAAGGGTAAAATTTTAGTAGAAAAATTTGAAGAAAATTGTATATAGAAATACAATTTTTAATGGAAAATATTAAAAAAAAAAAAATTTGATTTTATTTTCAAAAATATTGAAAACTAGGGTTATGTTAAAATGTAAGTTTTTATTATAACAAAGTTATTATTTAACTTTTAATATTACTAGAGGGCGTGGCTTTTTTCTTAAAATGAAAATATTTTTATTTATTTATTTTTTTTTTTTTAATAATTACGAAACACTTTATTTTTAAAATGTAAGAAGTTAACCTCTATTCAAAAGAAAAAAGGAATAAAAATTATAAAAAAGAAACCCCTTATGTGTTACTAAGGCAATAGGGTTTCAAACAGAAAAACAATTTTGAACACAAAAGATTTCGTTTTTTTTTTTTTTTTTTTTTTTTTGAGAAGTTTTTATATCTCCTTAAGTATTGGTATTTGTACAATTAAATGCAAACATTACTCTACTTTTTTCGGAATTATTAAGAAATGGCAGCAGTACCCTTACGCACACACAAACTTATCCTACTGACACATATTAAACGTAATTTATTTACACGACTTTTTTTTTTGCTTTATTCTTCTTTTTTTTTGTTATAACACTTTTTTTTCTAATACTAAAGAAGTCCTTTTAATGAAAGCAAAAGAGGAAAGAGAGAGAGAGAGAGAAAGAGCGTAAAAGAGAGTGTATTAAAGCTTAAAAGAGTTTGCGTGTTTAAAAGTGAAACACAGCTAGAAATAGTTATACAGTTAGGACAAGAGCAAGAGAGCTTTGCTATATAATAAGAATTAAGGATAAAGAAAACTTTAATAAAAGTGTTAGGATAAGGAAGAGTAAAAGGAAAAAAGTCCTTGTACGCATAATTTACTGTTATGCACTCTTTCTCTCTCTTTATGAACTTTTACAACCACCATTTTGCTTTTCTTAACACACACTCTCTCTCTCTCTCTCTCTGTATGTTATAATAAAAACTCTCTTCTTTTTTTTTACTATTACATACAAAACAGGATAATTTTTCTTTTAGGAAAATGAAAAATTTTTCTAAATTTTCTTTAGTTTTTAAAGAAAAGTCAAATATTTTAACTAAATTTTAGAAATATGTTCTTTTTTCCTTAATTTAAACCTAAAAACCTAAAAAAAAAACTTTTAAAAATATTAAAAAGTTTTTTCTTAAGCTTCTTGCTCTTTTAACTGTTTTTTTTCCCCGTTATTGATTTTTCCGTTAATAATGTATGTAAAATTGTTACACAATATTTTCCTTAACTTAAAAAAAAAATCTTTCAGTTTTTCAATTCTATAAAAGTTTATCATATTTTTTATAATAAAAAAAAGTTTTTTTAAATTGAATCTTCCAAACTGTAAAATGATAATTTTATATAACAGTCTTTTCTTTTAGGAAAAAAAAGTTCCTTTTTTTCACCCATAGTAAAAGAAAAAAAATCGAATTTTTGTATGTATATAAGTGTTACAAGGATATTTTTTTTCAATTTTTTTTTTTAAATACTCCAAACACAAATAACCCACAATTTTCACTTAAACAGTCAAAACTTTATATATATATTTTTACAATTTTCAAAAAGTCTTTATTTGCACTAAATCCTTTTAATGTTTTTTTCTTTTAGTTCCAAAAAAAGTTAATTCTTTCTTTAATCCATATATAATATTTTTTTTTCACTATATATATGTACTTTTTTCCTTATATATACCTAAGTATATATAATAATTCTTTCTTATTTTTTTTTCTTCTTTTGCACTATCTGTAATATAAATTGGGGTTTTTAATCCGTATTCAAAATTCTACCGTATGTCGTCCAGAGTTGAAACGCCAATGATAGT